TTGGAAATGCTGCAGTTTTCTTACAGAACCCATTTTTATTATTCTTATTGATGTGCTTATGTTTGTTGTGATTTCCACTTGATTTATGCTTGAGCTGCTGGTGAGAATCTGTTTAAGTTTATAACCACATAATAAGAGACATCCATTGCCTCCAAGATAAACAGACAAGGGAAAAGATGGAAAGTAATGATATTACAGGAATTTCAGTGGTAGAAAGCAAATGCATACAGAGAAGAAATGCCATTTATCAAAATTGTAGGGAATTCCTGAAAAAGACAAAAAAAAAAAGGGGGGCTCAGAATACTAAAGCAGCTTGGGTTAGCTTTGATCCTAGGGTCAGGCTCTCTTTCTGGGAGTGTCCCTTCAGGATTATGTGGGAAAGAGAAGTCTGGAAAAGTTTTCAGTGTGTCACAAGATGCTCTGATTGAATGGTTTAACGGATAATGTGCTAAATATTGCTGCTATAAAATGCTGAAATTTCCAAGGAGATGAATTTAGAAGATGGGAAGAGGATTGTAATTATGGTGTTGTATCCATAACACTAAAAGCTTGTAAAAATAGTAATAAAATCTGTTATCAAAGAAATAATTTCTTGTTTTTCTAAACTTGACAATAGTTATTTTCCTAATTATTATTCATAGACTCTGTGGGCTTTCTCAGAGAAGATCATAAATCTTGAGAACAAGGAACAAACCAGTTCCTGGACTCAAATTCTTCAGGCAATTTCTCCAGTTTCTTGTTTTTCCTCAATTCGTTTTCCTTCACAGGTATCCATCTCTTTCACTTTTGTAGCCTTATTAAACCTTTCTATACAGCTTTCCAGGTAACTTCTAGAGAATCACATCTTCCAAACCAGAAACACACCAATATTCTTCATATCACTGGGAAAATGAGAGCACAAAATACATAAAATTCAGAGCTTGTCATCATCTTCCTTTGAAGGCAGCTGTCCAGGATGTTCAGGAATAAATGAAGCATTTCTAATGGGAAGTAATTGCTTTTAAGGTGTGTTTTCTTTGGTGGCATCATTTTGTCTTCATGACCCAAGCAGGAGAAGAGCATCAATTAGCAGTGAGCAACAAAAGGCATCGAATGGAACTCCTGAGGATTAATTTAAACTGCAGATCAGTGCAAATTGCTGAAGCTGGAAACAAATCTTCCCTTCCTGAGGTTTATTAAATAAATGCATAATCAGAATTATTTATAGCACCGTGTTTCTAAAGCACTTTTCACTCAAAGGACTTCATAAACCACGAGGTAATTACATGCTGCGTGTTAATAAAAGGACCTCGGCAGGTGAGTGGGGAGGTCAAGCAGCTTCACTGAGCTCTGGACTCTTCACAGTTTTAGTAGGAGATGCCAAACCTAAGCTCAGTGATGTTCAAACCCAAACCCAGAGCCCAAAACACAGAGGGGAAACCCCTAAACTATCCTTTATGCAGTTTTCTAAAGTGAAAAAACAACTTTCTTCGTGCCTTTCAGGTCTAAATCAAAGGAAATTTCAGCATTGCTTGATGTTTTAAGGTAATTTTAATCTCATTCCCATCTTCTAAATTCATCTCCTTGGAAATCTCAGATTTTTATGTCATTAATATTTAGCTGTGTACCTGTTGGAAAGTGCAGTAAGTCCATATTGTAACACAGTGAGAACTTTTCCAGACTTCTCTTTCCCACCTGATCTTGAAGGGAAACTCCCCAGAGTGTTTTCAGGTTCTTAATGATACCCAGTACTTTTGGACAAAGTCTGGAGTGAAACTCGAGAATTTTTTTATGCTAATTGCAGCTAATTTTGATGTGAAAAATAAGAAAAAGCCTCGCACACCTCTTTTGTTCTATTTTTTAAGTTGACTGTATAATTTACATTTTAAGTGCTCATTAAGGTGAAAAATGTCAGTACTGCAGAAAGAGCAAATAAATTACCTTCATGTCTTTTCTCTCGCATTTCTTATTATTAATCTGGAGACCACAGAAAGGGTATTCTCAATTAATCTGGGAATGAATTTATAACATGTCAAATCCCATGCTGCTCCAACCCTATTACAGTTCAGTTTAATTAGGCCTTTCTCCCTGCCTGCAGACAGAAGCATTTGTAGTAGGCTTTAAAATATTAGCACTACTATTATATAGTTACTATTGTTTAAATCAATTATGTTTTACGAAAAGTTATTGCTCACAATTTTATTGCTCATACTGGAAAATCATAAGATTTCCTGTCCCCAGATGCTTTGCTGAAGTGTTTGCATGGCATTCAGCTCTTGAGATTTCCAACATTTATAAGGAACATTCACAGCTGCCAAAAGTTCTTTTAGGGTGTTTAGAGGGGGTGCAGCTACTTAGAAATTCAAATTTCTGTTGTCTAATGAAGTTTGAAAATCTTTTATCATGAATCAAGAGGTGAAACTAAAAGTGTTTTAGACTTCAAGCTCTGACATCTTGCAGCACTTTGCTTCAGAATCTTATTTATTTCCCTCTTCCCCCCCCACAAAAAACCCCAAACCAGCCAACAAACCAAAAAAAAAACCCATGAAAACACACCCAAACAACCTCCAAAAAAATCACTTCCCCCAACAGATAATAAGTCAGCAAAAACATGTCCCAGTTAGGTCAGTGGTATCAAGGTCTTCCCATATCCAGAGTTCCAAGATCCCAAATCCAACATTTTCCTGTCTACCAATTCATACCTCATGTCCTGGATTCAGGATTCAGGATGGAATCTTACCACACAGAGCATCTGAGCCATGAAGTTTTTGCACACCCCACAAAATTTTATTTCTCTGATGTTGTTTTATAATTAATTAGATATAAATATTATTCTCTTTAAAGAAAATTCCTGCTTAACAAATCTTATCTACCTGAATTTGAGAAGATATTGTTTGTTCCAAGGAAAAAATACAGATAAAGCTCCAAATTCTATAATTTTAAATAATTCAGTTCTGCTTTTATTCCAATTCTTCCTGTTTCTGTGCAGAACTCACTGCACACATTTTCTGTCCCAGACTTTTAGGTGTAAGATTAAATTTTTTACATAATTTTATACAAGCATGAAAATTTAGTTCAGAGATATTTCAAGGAAAAAAATCAGGTTTCATTCAACTCTTTTCCGTACCATTTGTGCTCACAGGGCTCCAAATACACAGACCTTGGACAGCCTCATTTATAAATTTCCTGTTTGAATAAAATATTATAAATTTCCTCAGTTAATTTACATCTGATTTAGCTTGCAAAGAGGCTTTTGTCCTTTTCCTGTGCCCAGAAACTGTGCTCAGTTGTTCACAATGAATGCAGATTCTCACCCAGCTGTCTGTACTTTCTCCATTTATTTTTTTTTTAATTTTAAATAAATTGGAGTTTTATAGGAACATGTGGATAATTATTTTCAAGAGTTTATGGAGAGGAAACTAATCAAGAATTAATTCAAATGAACTTTAACTCTTATTTAGAATATTTTCTTCATTTTCCCACGTTGCCTTTTATAATTTCTGATGGATCCTCTTGCCTGCTGGAGCAGGAAAGGTCTGTCATTAGTGTTAATCACAGTGAGGATTTCACAGCTCAGAGAATGTTCAAGAAAGAAATGCCCAGTAATAACACCTCCAGCCTGGGAAACATAGCAACTAGCTGGGTTCTGTTCCCAGCTGAGGAAGTGTTTCCTGGTGAGAGTAAATTGCTTTTATAACAGAAAAATGTATGATGCAGCTAGAAAAAATCCCCAAAGCAATGAATAAACAGCGACACAAGGACAAGGTGATTCTGCCTCTCTCTTCACTGTAAAAAGTGGTGAGTTACTATTCAATATACATTCAAAATATTCCAAGAAGACATTTCCAAAGAAAAGAGATTTTTTTTTTCTCGAACATTTCTGCTGCTTTTTTATTAAAATTAAAGGATTAAAATGAATGTTCGACCAGCTCATTGCTTAGTTTAAATTACCAAAATAAGTGGAGAAATTTGGTGTATGGCAGTAAATCATTGTGAGGGTGCTGTAAAAGCTCAGGATCCTCACTGTTTATCTTCCTCTTTCCCCACAACTCTAGCAGACTTCTGCCATGAGTGTGAAGTGAACTCTGGCAATAATTGTTTGTGTCAGCCTGTTTGATAGTGGAGTCTATTTTCTTCTAAATAGGGAAAAAAAAGTGACTTTTTATTCAGATTGAAACATTTTTGAGAGGAGGGGAAATGTGGTCATTTATTTATCAGCATTTGCACCATGATCATTACAGGAATATTTGAAGCAAAACAGAGCAAGGGAACAATTCCAGCTCCTAGAAGTCATAAGACAAGTTGCATTTCTATGTTAGTTAAGCTTTAAGATGCCCCCAGAACTCGGCATGAAGCCTAATATGATCATTTCCATCCTAGCTGAAGGCAGGCACTGGTCAAGTTTTCTACTTTTACTGCAACCAGCACTGGTGACAGACCTGGTGGGTGTGAAACCACCACACCTGCCAGGGCTTCGTGGGCTCTATAAAACTTGCTGAAGAGCTCTGGGCTTCTGCTCAAGCAATGCAAAGCCTTCAAAAAAAGATTCCTGGCTGTGGTGCAGCCGGATCAGAACACATCAGGTGGCAAATGGCTGAGGAAGAAGGATGAAGAGCTTCATCAGGGCTATGTTTGGCTACAGAGAGTTAAATCCTAGTAAAATCTCAGCTTGCAGTGAGGACTGCAAGTTCAAATTGACAGCTGGAGGAAAGCTGTGTCTAGATCTGGAGGCACTGATCCAAACGTGGAGGAATCATTCCTGCAGTGCTGCCACAGGGCTGACGTGGTGCTGGAGTGGCAGTTCATCAGCACAACGAAACGAGCACAGGTCCCATTCCAGAGGGAGTCTGAACCCAGATTTCCTTCCCTTTGCAACACGTTCAGTCTGTAGAAGAGTAATTGTGGCCTTGCAGTGCCTGAAGGAGGGCACAGGAAACATGGAGAGAGACTCTTTACAAGGGCCTTAAGGGACGGGACACAGGGAATGGCTTCCCACTGCCACAGGGCAGCGATGGATGGGATTTTGGGAAGGAATTGTTCCCTGTGAGGATGGAGAGGCCCTGGCACAGGATGCCCAGAGAAGCTGTGGCTGCCCCTGGATCCTTGGAAGTGTCCAAGGCCAGGCTGGATGGGGCTTGGAACAACCTGGGATAGTGGAAGGTGTCCCTGCCCATGGCAGGGGTGGCACTGGATGGGCTTTGATGTCCCTTTTCAACCCAAATCACTGTGGGATTCTGGTATTCTTTAGATGTCAGTGCTCCTCAGAAACCTCCACCTGAGCTGCAGTTCAGCCCCACACAGCATTTGGAAAGTTTGGGCTTTCACAGACACTTTTGTGAGTCCAAGATCTATTTCAGATGCACTCCAGGGTTGCCAGAGCATATCCATGAGCTTGGGCAAGAAGGACAACCAGAGAGTAAATTTTTGGATTTACAGTATCTAAAATATGTGGAGAACCTGCGGAAAGGGAGGAGGTTTTTGTGCTTGAAAGAGAAAGGCAGACTAACTTTTTGAGGAGGTGGTTTAGTGGTGAAGATCATGGTGGTTCTGGGTTTCCAGTTGGACTTTATGAACTTAGAGGTCTTTTCCAACCCTGACAATTCTGTGAGTCTGTAACAGCCAAGTAAGAGCTCTTTGTATTCCTTAAAACACAGGAGTTCTCCACTTTCAAGTTGGGTGTACAGAGCATCTCACCCATTAGCCTTCACTCTCAGATCTGTATTTTAAAGTGTAAAACTGAGTATTTTGAGTTCTAGGTGTCTAGATGTAGCTATCCTAACAAAAATGTAAAAGAAGTTTTAAAAAAAATATATTTACATAGGAATGTTTGCCAGCATTTCCTAGGTAAAAAGATTTCAGGTTCTTCACAAAGCAGAACCAAATAATGGCTCATCCTTTCTAGGGCTGATAACCAGCCCTCAGGTAACACATGAACACATCTCTTAAAATCAGAGCTAACAGATAACAAAGAAGTTATAATTAAAAACTATTACAAATTGGTCTTTTATATAATCTTATTTGATTAAAGTCAGGGTTTTTTTCCTATTTCTCCTTATTTGGTGCACAGTCAGTGTTTGTCATCAAAATTCTAAGGAGCCTGGAAAAAATATATTTCTATGCAATTTTCTCATTGGCAGATACTTCATTTTCATGTGAGGGAGGTCAAACATAATTCCAAACCAGTAATAACAGTAAAGGTGATGGGAAAGAAATTTTCAATTTCTTATCTTCAAAAACTCTTTGTTCATTCACAAATATTTCAAATGTAATAAGGAAAAAGCTCACATACTTTTTTTTTAGTGAAAAAAAAGCACATAACAATTGTATTCTCTAGAAGGCCTAAATCACTGCATTTTAGTCAGGATAATATGATGTTATCCCCTTACACATGGGTTCTTCATTCCATTTTTCTTGTCTCTTAGATGGTGGGAGAGTCTTCAAAATGGCAAACATCTCCAAAAAATTGGCTTGAAAGAACTGAAAACCATATAAAATACAGATTTTTTTTTGGTTTGTTTTAAGCTGAGCCTGGTATTGAAAATTTTTCACAATCAGTCATTTCATTGGAAAGTTTAAAAATAGTCTCTAAGATGAAATATGTTACAGAAAATTTACATGTGGCAAGAAATAATGCAAAGCTCATCTTTCTAGGGCCTGTAAACTTCCAGGGTATGAAAATAACTCTTGATAGAGAAGTGATTTTAATGGGTCAAAATAAGAATGCATGAGGGGCTTTTTGCTTCCCTCACTTCATTTTTTTTCCAGTGAGTCCTGAATTATCAGAGGTAAAGGCTGTGACAGCTAATCCAACATTCAGCAGCACAGGGAAAACCTCTGAAGGACAGCAGGAAATAAGACCTGTGAGAAATAGAAATAGCTGATTAGTAAGGAGGAGCAATCACATCCCTGGGGTGTACAGTGAATATTCGAGGTGCTTGATTTTCCCACTTCTTTAAGAAAAAGCTCTTTGAAGAAACCCAGGCAAAACAAAACTTCATGAAGCTGCTTTCAAAGTTAATATATTGATGTGAGAGTTTAATGGGATTTTCCCTCTTCTCTTTAGTCTCTTGTTCCTTTATCTGTACTACCCTATGTGAAAAATCTCTCTTCAACCCAAACATGGATTTATATCCATGGATTAATGGCTGTTATGCTCATCCTGAATTTTCAGTGCTATTCTAGCATTAAATCTCACAGATACCATGAGCAGGGGTCAGCAATTCCACATCCACCTTCCAAGAACTTTACGATGGGTGCTTGGAATAACACGTGAACATTCCTGGACAACAAACCTTCTTATCTCTAGAGCAAAAACAGGGGAGTGATTTGGCACTGCCAGACAACTGGGTTAGATGGGATATTGGGTAAGAATTGTTCCCTGTGAGGGTGGGGAGGCCCTGGCACAGGGTGCCCAGAGAAGCTGTGGCTGCCCCTGGATCCCTGGAAGTGTCCAAGGCCAGGCTGGACGGGGCTTGGAGCAACCTGGGATAAGGGAAGGTGTCCCTGCCCACGGCACAGGGTGGACTGAGATGATCTAAATTCTTTTCTAAACCAAAGCAATCTGGGATTCTGTGATTTATCCCTGTTCTAGAGAAATGGCTGAAAGGGTAGAAGCTGATGGATATTCAGATCTGTCCATGTCCAGAAGCAGCAGATCATTACATCCTTTGCACAGTGCTCTAAGGATGTTTGGAGAGGCTTGTTTGTGAAGCTTTACAGAAGAAACAGATATATTTTATTCACTTAGCCATTGAAATCAAGTTCTTTATGTTTGCAGATCTTCCATCTTGAAGATGAAATTCTTTCCATAGGCAAATCCTTCAATTTAGCCATGTAAGGCTATTTCAGATCCACTCAGACAAAGCAAAGGTCTGAACTAGCAAACAAAGCAATAAAACAGATTGTGAAGCTGATGTAGCCACTGGCAGGACACAGCTGGAGTTTATTATTCGTGTATTCAGAGAAATGTTGCCCTCAAATCTCCCTGTTTTGATGTAGTGTTTTTGGTTTGATAGTGTCAGCATTGCTTGAAGTTGATTGACTCAGATACAAAATATATATATATATAAAAGGAAAATTTGCTTCCTGAGAGGCTTGGGCTGGAAAACAGTACCAGGCACAGTGATTAATAAACGATAGATTTTGGAGCAGCAAAATATATTTCAGAAATTCCCCCATTCTGCTGGGTGCCTGTGTAATACACCATCCCCAGACATGAGAAGAAGAAAAGTAGAAAACAGCAAACTAAGGTATCTGCATGAAGAGGAGTGGCATTAAGTTTTCAAAAAGCTTTTTTGAATAGGTGCCTCAGGAAGAGATTTTTTGGGACAATGAAATCTTTCTGATCTGTTTAACTTGTAAATATATTGCTTTTCATATTCAGGGAAGGCAAATGACAGGTCATCTTAAAAAGTCTACTAAATCTTCTCTGGTTAAGAGCAGAAATGCAGTATGGGAGGAGTTCCTGCCTTTTTAAGACAGTAAGGGAAGTTGAGATGGGTCTCTCCAGGGAATTCCCTGGCATCACAAATACAGCCTTTAGCTTAGAATGAGCGGGGAAGAGCTATCAAATGAAATGATGCTGATTTGAAAATAGAATGTGAAGGGAATACAGAAAATTAAAAAAAAAAAATCTCCAGCTGTACACCCAAATCATTACAATATTGAAAAAAAAAATTGGAAAGCCTACCAGTTTCTTGGGAGAATACTTCTCCTCAATAGATGCAGCTGTGTGGCTCTTCCCCTAAGGGAAAGGAGTGAAAAGCAGCAGGTGACACTCCCCTGAATGGGAAGTCAGGGGTTGGAAGCACAAAGAGAAAGGGAACAGCACCAGCCTGGGGATGTGAGGTTGAGGTTTTGCCATCAGCCAGAGACACTGAACAGAGCAATCTTCAAAAAGGGGCTGAATGTTCTCTAAACACAGGGTTAGTGCATGTTTAGTTGTATCACACATTGTTTCTTTGTTTCAGTCTGTTTTTCTTCGTTTCTTTCGTCTACTCCTGTACATGTTTGTGTGAATGTCAGGAAATTTTCTATTCATAGTCTTGTGGAGAAAACTGCCTTTATTGTGTAAGAGGTGTGAATGAAGGAAGGAAAGTTTTCTGCTGGGGAATTTGAAAGGGATAGGGTATGGGCAGGAATAAATTACTCAGAGCGTCATTTATGGTGGAGAAGAACTCCAAGTCCAACTTTTGACCAAGCACCCCCATTCTCACTAAACCCTGTCCCCAGTCTCTGTTTTCTTTTGAAACCTTCAGGGGTAGTGATTCCACTCCTGCCCTCAGCCCATTCCAATGTGTTACAGCCCTTTCAGTAAAAAAATGTTTCCCAATATCCAACCTGACCCTCCTCTGGCACAGCCTGGGGCCATTCCCTCTCCTCCTGTCCCTGTTCCCTGGGAGCAGAGCCTGATCCCCCCCAGCTGTCCCCTCCTGTCAGGGATTTGTGCAGAACCACAAGGTTTCCCTGAGCCTCCTTTTCTCCAGGCTGAGCCCCTTTCCAGCTCCATCAGCTGCTCCTGGTGTTCCAGCCCCTTCCTCAGCTCTGTTCCCTTCCCTGGACATGCTCCAGTCCCTTAATGGAAAAAAAAAAAAAAACAAACAGCCCCACTAAACCAAAAACACCATTAAATGGGAAGGAAAAAAAAGCAAACAAAAAAACCAACCCCAAAATTCTCACCAATCCCCTTCAACAATTTTAAGGAGGATTCAGCTTGGTTATGGGACAAATAAATAACTTTGACTCATAGGGCTGTAGGAAATCTTTAGAAAGATGAGGCAGGTCAAAGTGCAGAGACAACCTGTGCTAATGAGATGGGCATATTATCAGATCAAGGCTTCAACTGGAAAATCAGGAGAGATGAGAGGGAAAGGCATGAAATGCTGATGGAAAATTACAGTGGGGTTGGTTGAAGATGTACATATCCTGATCCCACAGTCTAGAGAATTTGCAGAACTTGCTATAGAAGATTCTTCTATATCCAGTTGCTGAACAGCTCAATACAGGCAAAATATTTATATCCCCATGCACAGAGAACGTTATTTTTAATGACACTGTTTGAGTTTCATCTGGGCATAGGGGTGTTTCTGCTTTACCTAATGAACAGGGGCTTTTCTTTGAAAATAAATCCCAGTGAAAACTAAAAATGTTCCTTTTGTTTGTTTGAATTCTAAAACCATCCTGAGTTTGAAACTAGAGATACAGTTTTGTGTTCCCAACTTTCATGGAGCTTTTTTTGTGCATTTAAAAAAAAAAATTCTTTCCTTGTTAATTAAAACAAAAATAGATTAGACAAAACATTGCCATTCATTTATTCAGCAACAAATCATCTGAACTTGTAACAAATAGGAGAGGAGAATTTCTTCAGTGGGAAAACCACCCAGGAGCAGAGCCTAAAGCTCTAGTGGAAGCCTGTTGCAGTCTACAGGGAGTGACAATCCCCTGAATTTTTCTGTTTTCCTAATATTTCTACCTTGCACTTCCGTCCAGAAGCAGAAGACCTGTGACAGTGCTGGCATTTGAGTTTCAGATCATAACAGCAGCAGGACATATTTGGCTGCATTTTCAGACCCTCAGCAGACCGAAAAACTGACATTACCTAAATTATAGATATTTTTCCCTGAGGAAATGAAAGTTTGTATTACACCTTTGCCTAATTAAATCACAGACAAGGCTGG